GGCAGGAAGTGTCTCCTGCCGCTCGAAAACCTTCTCTATACACCGCCAAGTTGGGCACCTCAGTCTATTTTTGAGGGACTTTTGCTCTGTTTATAGGTCAGAATGCAGGAAAGAAAATTTCATAATAAATGAAACTAGGGGGGGCTGGGGATTTAGCTCAGTGGTTCCACTACCTGCCTCACAAGCACAAGGTCTTGAGTTCGACCCCTGGTACCAAAAAAGAAACTAGGTGATCGTTGACTTTTGTTAACGGAAACAACAAGGACTCATAAGTGGAAGGTTTACTTTCTCCATCTCTAACTACTGTGAAATTTGTAGGCTATAGTATTGTAATTTTAATGAACAACGTAACTATTTTCTAAAATAAAAAAACTAGAAAAATGATCTCTTTTTTTTTTTTTGCATGTTTTTGATGTCAGGCTCAAGCAATGCCTGCTGTATTCTTGTTTTTGCTTCTTTAGTTGGTTTGCAGTGTGTGGATTTGGTGGAAGTCCATGATGGAAATCACACTCCCCGGGTTATCACTAATCCTCCTCAGAATCCCACTTGCTCTGGACACACTCATCCTACCGTTCTTGTCACTTTCTGCAGCAGCTCTGGCGTCCTCCTTCCTGAGGGTCTTTGTGAGGTGTGATCACAAATACTGAAATGCTGCTGCTGAGCGCCACCCAGCAGAACGGCGGTGTGGAAACACTTGGTGCCGTGTCTTCGTCCACCTAATTCGCTTTCACCGGATCTGGGACTGTGTCTCCTTCAGCTCTTTACAAACTTGAAAAATGACCACGAAAGGTGGACAGTTTGAATCAACTCAGGACATAGAGGCAGACAGGACAGAGTAACGAAAAACATCTGTGAAAGAGGACTCTGGAGTTGACTCAGAAAGTGGCGAGGACGATGGGAGGCATTCAAAGAAAGGGGTCTGTTGTGTGGGGAATCAACGGCAATGTGTCTTTTCTGTAATACAAATTTTTAAAATTCACCCTGATTTTCAGTCACAGCCACGGTATGCCAGGATCTTTCCCGAGTGCTGTGTATATAGTTCATTATCGAATCTCCGGAAGACACCTGTAATTCTCTGGCTTTACGGAAGAGGAATCAAGGCATCGACAGGTTGGTCACTGGTTAGCGCTGGTGGAGTCCATGGTGTTATTGTCTACATGGCCATCATACACTGTCACCTGGTCCTGCTTACATTTAGCTACGAAGACACTGTCTCTTTCTCAGATATTACAGTAAATGTCCCCTCTTCCCAAAGAAACAGGAACGATGTATTTGTAGTGCAGCCCTTAAGCTGCAGTCAGCTTTTCCAACCACAACTACCAGGTTTGACTCTTTCCGTTCACTTGGCTGACCCTCCTCTTAGCATTAATGTATTTAGAGAGAACATGTATGGAGCCATTTGTGTTGTGGTAAAACCGCATTTTTAATGTATTTACAAACAGATCCATACAAACACATGAAAAACTATAAAATATATGCCACATGATTATTTGGGTGCCCGATGCCACACAGATTGAGATTTTCCCTTGGG